TTTACTTCTATATCAACTTGTATGTCAGGGCATTTTCCAATTTCACCATGAAGACTGAAAGCTTCCCGATTTTGACACAACATATCGTAGAATTTGTCTTTTTGAGAAAGATCAAGCACACTTTTGGACAAATCAATTTGTGACTTGAAAACAGACTTAATATTACTTGATGATGTAACATTATTTTGATCATACTCAGAAGTGAAGTTAATATTATCATAACTTACAATATCTTGAAGGGATATAAATGAAATTGGTCGAGTAGGTCTGATATGCAAAGTTTTAGCACTTGTGTTATGAATTGGTATAATGGCTTTATTTCTTTCCAGCTTAACCAAAATTGTTGAAGGACACATATCAGAAATATGACTGCCACAATACATGACAACTTCACGATTCCTAAACAAAGGAGGAACTTTACCATGAACAGTGATGTAACGACAATGGTTAGGTCTGACATATACACTATGAGCGGTTATAAATGGAATGGTTGTAGCTTTACAATGAAATACATTGTCACGAAAACTAAGACTTCCATTCAAATCAGCTAAAGTTTCTTGAGCAATGATGATATCAATTCCGATTAAATCGGCAGCAATAAAAGCTTGAATGGTAACTTTACATTTTGAATAAGCACATCAAACTTAATAGAATATTTACACAATAGTAGATTGCCATTACCAAGTCGAAAGCTAAGTGGATTTGACAACAAATGAACAGGCAAACCACTTAAATAGGGTGAAGATTGAATAAGTAAAGACGAAATTATCGACCTTGATGCACCACTATCAATTAATAATAAAGCTGAATGACCATCTGAAATTCTCCTTTGCAATAATTTCGTTTTGAAAGTTGAATAGAAACAGAACTAGAATGATTCTGTTTACCTGAAGTAGAATGAACAGGTTTGGTTTGATTAGATTTAGGGAATTCATTCCGAGCAGTAGAATAAATTCCCTCTATTGAAAATCCTGTTGTTGTCTTTTAGCAGAAAGGTGTTTCTGACGCAGAAAACATGATCTCCATGTATGATTTGGTTTCAGCAGTAGTCACAAAATATAGGTCTATCAGCTGACTGGCTAGAATTATTGTCATATTTAGAATGCTTATTTGTGTATGAGGAATATCGCTGTTGACTAGGTGAACGAGAATAATCACTTCTTGATCTATACTGACTAGGTGAACGAGAATAATCACGTCTTGATCGAACTCCAGGGTTGTTTGTATGCGATTTGGGACTAGGTGAATAAGGGCGTCGTCTGGGTGAAAGTGATTGCTCACGAGCATAAGATGAATGACTATAATTTGGATGTTTGGATCGGTGTCTGACATGATCATCTGATGCTACATGCAACTTAAGTTCATCTAATTCTTTTCGTAATGAAGAAAGATCATCTGTGTCAGATGTATAGAAGGATACCTCCTTACTAGGATTTACGGTTCCAGAAGTTTTGTCAGGGTTATTAATATCAAAGAAACACTGAACTTTTGTTGTCATGTCATTCAAAGTAGTTGTGTCATTTGTTGACATGGCAACGACTTGTTGACAGTTTGTAGGGAGGATTGAAACAAATTTATGTTTGAGTTGGGTGCGACCTACTCCAAGTTGAGTAGCTAATTTCTCCAAGCGTTCTACATTTTCCGCAGGAGTGATAGAAGAGTCGTAAGTGAATGAGGAATAGGCTTGGTGTAAACCAAATGAAGACTTATTTTCGGACTGTTTGAAAAGATTTATCATCTTATTGATAGCAAGAACTGTCTGAGGATTCATCTCCTCATCAGAGTACTCAAGGTAATCTTCGAAAGATAAAAAATGGGCAGTGGCCAGATCCCTATTTAATACGGACCCATCAAATCTATCAAATGACAGAGGTCTCTTGCGTTCAACAACCTCGTTCCGACGGTTAGCCATAATTGTAATTGTATACAAAATAATCAAAATAGTTAAAAGATGTTTACAATTTTGTCCAAACATTGAATATGATTGACCTTGATTAATTCGTTCACTATATGAGCAACTATTATTATCAAAATAATTGTAAGGCAAATCAGGATGACTACAAGTTTAACCAATAAAGAAAGAAATAATGCATCTTGTAAACATGGAAAACATCAATTAGCAAAACAAATTATCTAAATATTTAAGATCATGAAACAATAATAACATATTCACACAACCATTCAGCATAATTCACACAAATATGGTATCAGAAAACGTTTATATTATAAATTGACTGGAATATTGCCAAATTAATTTGAAAGTTGTAAATTTGAATTTACTTATAAGCCAAAATTAAAATTTCTAAAGCCTTCTTTCACAATTCTGTTTTAAGAAAAAAAAATATTGTCTCTTTTACAAGTTTTAGGGATAAAAGTCATTGATTTATACATCAGGCTTCAGTAAAAGTTCACAAGACAGCAAACTTGAGTTGAAATAATGTCACTTGTAGGCTACACAACACAGTCACAAGACAGCAAACTTGATTCCAAGATTGTCACTGTACAACACTGTAGTCTATACTTCATTAATTATGTCACTATAAATGAATTAGATCTAGGCTAGTAGTAGAGTTCTAGGCATCCACACTTTAACATGGGAAAATTGGCACTCATGTCAAAACAGATTTTCCATTAGGCCTTTATAACACAGTGTAGGCCTACATGTTTATGGATTTATTCATTTGGATTATTTGAAATGTCTCTGGATCTGTACATAAGCAATTTAGGCTAGATTTTAATTTCACACAAATTAATAATAGAGTTTATAATTAGGCCTCACTATTTCAAGTCAAGTCTGATGAATTTGTAGTCCTCAGAAATAAAGGTTCCAAATATCTGCTGAATGACTAATTTCACACAAATAGAGTTTAATCAGACCTCACTAGGTCTACTTCTGATGAAAGTTTACTCCTCAGAATAAAGTAGATTCCCAAAATCTGTTGAATAATGGGAGAATATGCTCCACAAACTAGAGTCCAAATCTCAAAACATGTGCTCCTCACATCACAAGTCAATTCTTGGTAACAAATCAAAAATATCACTTGTAAACTAGTTCTTCAGATTCTACATACTAGAAATGGGAGTTTGGCATCTCCACCATGTGGTATTTGGGTGTATAGGCCACAAGATGGCCTGGATTGTTTATGACAATCAGAAGAGCTAATTAAAAACAGCCATCTTCCATTTCACTCCATCCCAGAATTCCATCTAGGATCAAAGCCTTTTATTAATCAAGGGAAGTAACTCTATTAACACAAATAACTCAAGAAGGCTTCAGACCACTATTCCTTAATAATATGAATAAGTTGGTTTAGTAAAGGAGTATATGACACATGGCACGTTAATATTTTCCTTCGTGTTTTGAGTTGGCCTATTTCAAATAACTGTAAATTCATCGGCCAATATATCAAATATAAAAAAGATATTACAGACCAAAAACAAATATAAAAAGTTTTTTCTTATAAACAACCAACACTGTACAGGATAAATACATCAGGAATTTTGCCATTCCAATAGGTCTATACAGTGATTGATCCTTGTGCTGTACATGATGACAACAGTTAATTTGACCTGAGTGTTATATAGGGGAATATCAATTTTCCCTGAATTCCCGGGATCAAAGAGCGGGTGCGTGTTATATATGGTAACGCGGGTGTTTATGGTAATAACTCTGCATAAAGTTTAAGCAGGATTCAGTAGGGTTCCTCTCTATGACTAGTAAAACAAGCAAACAGTGAGGCTGAGGTCCCCCACCGAAATCCCAAAATAAATAGATGACACATATTAATTAATAGCACATTTATTTTTTCAAACATATCAAGCAATCAAACCGATTATCAACTATACACCAAGTTTCATCACTCTCTATCAGATAGAATCAAAGTTATCTGGTCCCAAAGCATCGACCAATAAAATTGCTTAGCACGGCTTAGCTTTAGCTCGAAATGTTAATCATTGAACTCAGACAAGACATTCATCTAATGAACATCAACATCAAAGTTAAACATTCTACCTCAATTAAAAGCAGAGTTGTTATGTTCCAAAGTCTTGACCAATCAAATTGCTTATCGATCCTTAGCCTAAGCAGAAAATTCTCATCATCAAACTTAGTCAAGGTAATGATATAATGAATATATACTCAGAGTTTCATCACTCTTACTTAATTAAAACTAAAGTTATTAGCCCCAAAGCATCAACCAATCAGACTGTTTTTCTCTGCTTACCATAAGCAGACAATGTTTATCATTGAACTCCATCATTCATTCACCTAATGAACGCCTAAACCAAGTTTGAACATTCTACCTCAACAAGAAGGAGAGTTATTGTGTTCCAAAGTCTTGACCAATCAAATTGCGTATCGCTCTGCTTACCCTAAGCAGAAAAGGCTTATTATCGAACTTAGTCAAGGTATTGATGTGATAAAACTATACACCAAGTGTCCTCACTCTCACTTAATTAGAACTAAAGTTATCGTGTCCCAAAGCATCAACCAATCAAATTGCTTATCTCTGCTTACCCTAAGCAGAAAATTCTCATCTTCTAACTCTAAACTCCATCAAGGCATTCACCTAATAAACACCTATGCCAAGTGTGAACATTCTAGCTCAATTAGAATGAGAATTATCGTGTCCCAAAGCATCAACCAATGAAATTGCTTATCTCGGCTTACCCTTAGCAGAAAATGAAAATGCTCATCTTCGAACTCCATCAAGGTATTCACCTAATAAACACCTACACAAAGTTTGAACATTCTAGCTCAATTAGAAGGAGAGTTATTGTGTTCCAATCAAATTGCTTATCGCTCTGCTTACCCTGAGCAGAAAATGCTCATTATCGAACTTAGTCAAGATAATGATGTAATGAAACTATACACCAAGTTTTATAAGACAGACAGACAGACGAACCCATTTTAATAGTCCCCTGCTTTCTTCGAAAGGCAGGGGACAACAATTGCAGCCAGTAGAGAAAGATAATAATAGATAATGAGGTCAGGTACTTACTGCTGATTTAGGCGGGATAGGTTCTATATTTGACGTTAAGGTAGAGATAGGTAATATATTAAACTGATCATCCATCACCATACAAGATTTACATGATGCTAATGATAATAAAAACCTGAAATTGAAAAGGTATTGTATAAGGAAAAGGAAAATGTCACTTGGTCAAAAAGAATTAAACTTAAATATATGATTTCTGATTGTAGTAAAATAAATTGCTGTTTTGTAAATGGTAATTTTGTAATTTCTATATTAGATCTCTGTACATGAAATCAATGGCTGTACTAAAAGCATAAAAAGTAACCATTTAATGTTGTTACCTTTCATTAAATCTACACACAACATCATTATGAGCTTCTGTTCTATATCTAGAGTGAACATCCTACAAACAAATAAATAATAATATTGGATAATCAAGACTTCCTTTATTGTCGTAGTAGTGGTACTTTATAATCAAGACTATCTTGTCAAAACACTCTTACCTTCTCTCAGAATAAAGAAATTTAACTGAAATTTTCAATATATTCATTTCTCATTATCTATTTTTAAACTAAACTAGTAAACGGTCAGCTCTTTATCTAAATCTTACATAATGTATCTTTAATATATGAAATTTTTACCACATATGTAATTCTAAAATGTACTTTACCATGGTCATTGTGTAGAGTTGTTTTAAAGATGACATGGTCCGTAATAAAATAACAATTAATCCTCCTCCTTCTACTGTCTCTATAGTTCTAGCTAGCAAGTTGGGGGTTAAAGCTTCAAAATCCTAAAATTAAAACAGGTAAAATTATATAATGTCTATAATATATAATTATATAATGTCTATAATATATAATTATATAATGTCTATAATTGATCTGTAATGAAATAGATAATAATCCGGTGTATTCCCACGACGGCGCCGTTACAGAGCGTGACCAAAATTAATCCTTCTCACGAAGGCACAGATATGGACTTGTCGGTTTTCATTTGAAGAGAAGCATGTTGTTATTAGGACCCAATTAACAGTGTTAAAGATTTTATGAATTTATGTTCACTCTGAATTCTATTCACTAACTGACAACTAATGATGAATATCATCAAAGCAACCAAGTAGTGTTCACATATTCCCTCACTCTCGATCAGATCCAAAACTGAATTGGTCGACTATGTAACAAACCAATGGGTGAGGGTGAATATGCTACTCATCAGTGGAACCACTACCACACAGGGGAACACAGAACCAACAACACTCTGGAAGGATGGCATTCAAGGATCAAGAAGCTAGTTGTTAAAGCTCATCCAAATTTTTTTTTAAATGATCGCATTTTTACAACAAGAGCAAAATATTAATGAAATTAGAATCTTACAGTATGCTGGGGGACAAGAACCACCAAGGAAGAGACATAAATATGCCCAAATCCAAAGCCAGCTCCAAGAATTAAAAAATAGACACGAAGAAGAGGAATATACTTTAGTCGAGTATATAGACAGGGTGTCTTATTTGGGGAAATTAAATTAATTTCTTTTTACTTCTTAAAGTCATATGCCAAACATGTTAAAATGTTACGGTAGTTAATTAGTCACAGAAAGCTGGATTCCCACGAAGGCGTTGAAAACAACCTCCTTTAATCCATTAAGGTCAATAACTGCGCCTTCATGGGAATAAACCAATAATCCTAGTGTGTTGTTTCTGACACATGTAATTTTCTTCCTTCATTTACTTGTAGTGAAAATGTACAAATCAAAAGAAATGTAAAATGTGTTGAGACAACCATAACACATGCATGTACAATTAATTACATATTTGAATGGCAGGTCACGATCCTAATGCTTCATCAAAAAAAAAAAAAAAAAAAAACCTGTTAAAAACTGTAGCCTATATATCACATTCACAAAGGTTGTGGAAAGCATAATAAACCCGAAGCTTCACAACAAATTTGAAAAAAAATCTGCTAAAAATTTAGACTATCATGTTCACAAGAATGCTGAATATCGATAGGGTTTGTCCTCCCATGACCCCCAACCCTTCACACCAAATTTAAAAACTGTAGCCTGAAATGTGGAAGTTTCAAAGTAAACTAGGATAATAAGAGTAATACGAACCTGTAACACACACATTCCATATGTGTTACCCAATATCTTATGTGTTTCAGCATAATAACAATATCTAATCTGTGTAGCTGCAACAAATAATTCAAACGGATCATCCTCTTTAACATCAAGTTTCCCACTTTTAATTTTCTTCTGCAGATGTCTCATTCTTTTCTTTCTGTTGCTAAATAAGGTGAAAACATTAACATTATTAGTAAGTAGACAACACAACCATATTCTAAGCTAGGGCTAAACATTTGCAGATGAACAACCGATTTTCTGTCAAAAATCGAAAATAGGCCAAATTAATATAACCACAGAAGTATAAAGACTAAAAAGATAAATATTTAAATGTATTCAAAAAGATTATTTTGCATTTGGGCCTCCACCAATGATCAAATGATGATCCACCAGGAATCAACCAATCATGAGCAGAATGTCAGAGCATGGGTCATTTAAATTGTCATCATTTTTTGCAAATCTGAGATTCCCTTTCCCCTGAACACAACTATCTGTGTTAAAATGATTAACATATTGATTTACAGTGTAACAATCAATCAATTATTGCCTTGCAAATCTGAGATTAACCAGAGCCATAAATATTAGGAGATAAACACTTCTGGTTTTGTATTTAGAGGGAGGGTGGGGTGGGGAGTGTATTGTATTGTGCAATAGACATGATCTGAGATCATTTGGACCTAAGTCCTAAGTGGTATATTTCATACTTCATATAAAGGGTATGTTATTTTGCCTCTTAATTTTATTACTGGTACTATGATGTGCAATGTTAGCAAGAGAGAGAGAGAGAGAGAGAGAGAGAGATGGGGTTTAACGTCCACTCGACACAAACCAAGTCATTTCTGGACTAACATGGTTCAATTTTATTTCAATAATTTGCTTGCGCGTAGGTGTTTTTAGCAGTGGGAGGAAACCGGAGGACCCAGAGAAAACCCATGAGGTTGGACAGACGTCCCTACACCTTGTCACGTACAACCGGGGAATCGAAACCCCCGCCAGTTGACTCAATGACAGACCTTATGATACAGCGCACACATGCTAATTATTCAGCCATCCTACCCCCTGCAATGCTAGTGAGAAGAATTTTCCATGAATAATGCCATTTCCAACAACGCTTCTTCCAATTTCAACTGTCAAATTCTTTTTCATTCACATTTACATTCCATCTGAATGACTAAGCAAGCCTTTCCTTGTCGGTCATGCAAACACTATAAACCAGGCATGAAAAATTCCTAAGGCTATTCTTCTATTCTTGGCCCACCCAGTACAATCTAGCTGAGAGTCAAGTGATGTGATCCTTAGACTACTGTGACTCTCTCATCAAAAACAAGAGACCTATTTTTAGTCACATATATACGTTACCTGCTAAATCCAAGTTCTTTTTTATAACACCATAACACAGATGGTCTGGCTTTAACAGCTGCTTTAGATAACATATGATGTAGAATAACAACCTATAAAATAAAGTATTGTCATTAACATCTACTTGCACAAGGTAGTTCCAGTTAACAAATACGGCTAGAAAGAAACCAAACTCATCAACAGTGAATATTCGCTAGGCCGCTACAATCACTGAGAGGGATGAAGCATCAAAAAGTAAATAAAGGTGTTTGAAGTATATCTCGATAAAAAATATTTCCCATTTAGTGTAAATCGGTACATAAAATAGTATACAAAGGTGTAAAATGAGTAAAAGGCACCATTCTGCCTGGACCAGTTTACATTACTAGGTCTTATGTAAACAATTTACATGCTATCGAATCCAATGATCAACACAGAGTGATGTGACGTCACACGTAAAATGCATATTTATAAAGTTCAGTTATCTAACACAGACTTAGAAGAAGGCTTTTGCATTACCTCTGTGAAACAACTTGCAAAGAAACCTGTATACTGTATTTTACTCAGCTTTTTTTCAAGACCCTATAATCTCCGGAGCCCTCGTACGGACCTCTTTGACTTTGCTGACCCCCAGGATAGTATCACAGACCCCACATTTAGAAACATTGAGATAGATGACTGCTATGACCTAAAGCTTGTTGACATAATACTAACACAATTTTACAAATTATGGAAATATATATACAGCCTTCAAACATGTGATGTATGTAAAGACAGCTACAAATGAAATGAGGTTTAACATCCTACTTATCTAGGCTAATGGAGCTGGGGAAGACAGCTACATACTAGAAATCTGTGAAATTTGTAGGCTGACACTTATTAAATTCAAAGGTTTAACGTCCTACTGTTCTGCTCCGACTGGGCTAATGAAGACGGGCATATGCCATACAGTGTGCTGTGAGGGAAATTTTGCTCGGGCAGTGGTACTATTACCTACTCTTATATCGAATTCCAACTGCCAAGGGATCTTTTACCTGCATGCCAATGTATACATGGGACCTCAGTTTTTCGTCCAATCCAAACGACTAGACAGCTGTCCTTGTCAGACGCTCTGTCCAGCACCACTGACAAGGGGAAACCACGCCAGAAAATCACGATGAACTTTCTTGGCCAATGCTGGAATCGAACACAGGACCTCCAGGCTAGCGAGCCAGCATCTTATCCACTTAGCCACCGTGGCTCTGAAAGGTTGAGTAAATCATTGTCCATCATAACGTCACCTCACATGACAGGCAAAAATGTCATTAGAGTCTATCTTTGTGCCAATTCAGTAACCATGAAGTTTATAATATAATATATTTATTATATTCTAAATCTTTCATATTTTCATCACCATACAAGTACCTGATCCTTGCCATGATCACCAACAACCACTATCATACTTCTATGTTTAGTAACCATTCCATTTTCAATCAGAACTCGTATACGGTTATCTATTTTCTTTCGTGGCATTTTTGAAATCTGTAAAACAATGTTCGATATTTTTTTTATAAACAGTCTAGTTAATCATGAGATTACATATCAAACATGCGGTTGCCATGCATGATATGCCCACATTTTGCAAGAGACCGACAGAGAACGTATATGAACGTTTTTTTTTAAAATCGGATAAAATTGTGACATCTAGAGGGTTCACAATCTAACAAGCGGTTGCCATGCAAGATACGCCCACATTTTGCAAGAGACGGACAGAGAATGAGCTAAAAAAAATGTGGTGTTTTGTACAATAAGGGGCCATAATCCATGAAGTTACGATACATGCCATTTTCAAGAGGAACCAATAATCTTTGGGAGATAACCTATATTCAAGTTTCGTTAAAATCGGATAAGAATTGTGACCTGTAGAGTGCCCAAAAACAAAATGTGAACGGACACATGGATGGACAGGGGCGACGACAATATATCGTCAAAATGGAAAATGTGGGCATATAAAAACTGTGACCTCTAAAGTGTCCAGCAAAGACAATATATCGTCAAAATGGAAAATGTAGGCATATAAAAACTGTGACCTATGTCCACAAGCTAAAAAGATAGGTTGCCAGGCAACAAAACATACGCCCACAGCAGCTAAATCGTCCGAGCAGTCGACAAGGGTTGTCACATATTTATTCTTTTGTAGGTAATTAGGGGAATTTAATAGACAATTTCATACAGAGGACATTATAATTTCTGTTGTTTGAAGGTTCACAAGGTTCTAATATCTAAAACAAGGGCCGTAACTCTGGAAGCAATCTACAGAAATTGTTCAAATTCGACAGGCTTTTTTCGTTTTAATAATTCAAATAATGCATATGAATTTCATACAGATCGGATGATAACTTTTGTTGTTCGAAAGTTCACAAAGTTCAACAAAGTAAATCAAGGGCCATAACTCTAGACGTAATTGATGGAAATTGCTGACATTCAATAGGCTTGTTTGTCTTCATTTCACTAATTTAGGTGATAACTGAAACTCAATAGGCTTGTTCGTTTTACTAATTTAAATGATACATATTTCATACAGATCGGATAATAACTTTTGTCGTTAGAGCATTTACAAGGTACAACAAAGTGAAACAAGGGCCATAACTCACGGCGTCATTAACGGAAATTGCTGAAATTCAATAGGCTACTTCATTTCACTAATTTAAATGATGCATATCAATTTCAAACAGATCGGATGATAACTGTTGTCATTAGAGCGTTCACAATATTCAACAAAGTGAAACAAGGGCCATAACTCAAGATGTAATTAACGGAAATTGCTGAAATTCAATAGGCTTCTTTGTTTTACTAATTTAAATGCTGCATATAAATTTCATACAGATCGGTTGAAAACTTTTGTCATTAGAGCGTTCACAAGGTGCAACAAAGTAAAACAAGGGCCATAACTCCAGAAGAAATTAACGGAAATTGCTGAAATTCAATTGGCTTCTTCATTTCACTAATTTAAATGATGCATATCAATTTCAAACAGATCGGATGATAACTGTTGTCATTAGAGCGTTCACAAGGTGCAACAAAGTGAAACAAGGGCCATAACTCCAGAAGAAATTAACAGAAGTTATTGAAATTAAATAGACTTCTTCATCTCACTAATGCAAACAACATACATCAATTTCAAAACAATCGGTTGATAAATGACGGACGGACGGACCGACGGATCGACTGACGGACGGGGGCGACGGCAATATACGACCACATTTCCATGTGGGCGTTTAAAAATAAATTTTCGTACAATCAGAGGCCATAATCCATGAAGTTACAGTCAGATACATGCCTATCGAAAGAAACTGTGATCTTTGGGATATAAACCTATATTTCAAGTTTCGTCAAAATCAGATAAAAATGTGGATGAACAAACAATACAACCACGTGAAAATGTGGGGATATAAAAATTTTACAACTAAGTACACAGTAATACATAATATATATTTATTAAGAACACCAATGCACAAAATTAGAATACAATTTTGTTTCATTTTTTTTCTTCTGACTCCCACACTCAATGTCATCTTACCAATTATATACCGATAACAAAATCAGCCAGATGATGTGATATGGTTTTAATACACTTTAAATACTGAGTTTGTCCGCTCCAACATGTCATTCTGACATACGCTCCATGAAAAATTTGACGTATTTACTTGTATTTTCGACTGAGTGCAAGACAATATTGATTTTGTCCGGTGTTGGACGAAACGAGGGAAGCTGTTGCAGGGGGGGTTTAACTTGACAGAGATTTTGACAACCATGTGTTGCAATCATAACAAAGCGCGATCATTTCAATCGCTTGAGTTTGGGCAACAACAAAAATCACCTGAAGACAATTACAAGTGTATCTTCAATTTGATATCATTCTTTCAATCCAATAATAACCTTTTAAAAAAACATCTATAAGCGCAGCCTCGAAAGTGCCTATTGGGTGGGTTTATAATGCTAAAAATCCTGTAAAACCTCGTAAGAAGTGCACCATCAATTCTAGATTCAACAGTTTTGACCATAATTATTGTGATAAAATGCATTATTTGATTGTTCATTATGTAAATATATTCTCTATCATCAACTATCTGTTAAGAAAGATTTCATCAGGTACAGTAGGTAGTGTTCGTTTACATGGAGGCCGATATTTGTCACGTTTAGGTTCATATTAACAATGCAAAAGCTTGCTAGAGGTTCCACTGATACTATTTTTATCAGTGTCAAAAAAAATGACCTTAAAATGTGTCGTTTTGGTTCCGCTACTTCGGGAAGTTGAATGAACACCAACATCAACGATTTTGTGCTTTTCGTGTTGAGACGAAAACAGAGTTTGTGTTGAGCATGGTTTGGACATTCAGAAACGTATTTACGACCTATTTCTTATATTTTGAAAAAATAAAATTATCTGGAAAAGGCAAAAACGGCGCTCGTCACTGAAAGTAAACGTATTTTCTCATAGAAAGACCCATAATCAAAGGAAATAAATTATATAGCCCAAATATAAAAATTCCAATAAATATTTAAGGGTTGGATGGATGTTTCCTGAAAATTTGATACCTATATCTTCAATCATCAATGGTTACTTTTTTTGCTACTGACATCGATCAATTTTGGGTCATAAAGGTACAATAACAATCTTATTTCTTAATCGATTTTGAGGGGAGAAGGGTTAGAAAACTAGTAAATATTCAATTTTATTCAGATTTAAAAATTTAAAAAAGCTTTTGAAATGCATTGCTATTCATGCATATCCCATAACCCTTGCAAAAATGCAGTGCATCGAGTGTCATCTACTGATCTAGCCTATTATTTTATAGAAAGTCAAAATAACTTCAAGTGAAACGAATAACCTTTTTTCCTATCAAATAACACCAAGAATCAATTCAAACTACTTACTCAAACTTTGTCAGACAGATAAAATTATGTTAGCTTAGCATTAACCGTAGTTTTGTTTTTATTATTGTTTCTCATCAACGCAATACTTTTATTTTGGAAGCCAACACGTGCTTCCGGTTTAAATGTATATTTTTTATGTTCATTTTATGGACATAGATCACTCCATTAAAGTTTTCATCATTCTTTGATCATTAACACAAAACATCTCATTTGAATACACTTTGCTCTTGGCAATCTTTATAGATAATGTAATTTCCAAATAATGGCCTCCTACTGAAACGTTGATCTTTAATAATTTAATTAGAATGCAACATAAAGGATATAATATAATACATGGACACGGATTCAGCAGTATCACAGAATGGTATTAAAACATGGGTCGAGATAAGACAACTCATCCCGATTCCCATCAAATATGTTGTTTGTTGTTGTTTATTACAATTGCTTTCTTCGAAGACCACTCAATGGCCTCCTACTGAAACGTTGATCTTTAATAATTTAATTAGAATGCAACATAAAGGATATAATATAATACATGGACACGGATTCAGCAGTATCACAGAATGGTATTAAAACATGGGTCGAGATAAGACAACTCATCCCGATTCCCAGCAAATATGTTGTTTGTTGTTGTTTATTACAATTGCTTTCTTCGAAGACCACTCTGATTTTGTTATAAAAATGTGTTATTTTAATCAAATTGATATTGTTGCTTTGTTTTAATCAAATTGATGGCTGTGTTTCACTGTAATGTTTCAGTACTAGTTTGTTGTTTTAACAGATTGGTAGATGTGTTCGTTTTATTATTTCAGCATGAAGCACTTCAAAGAAAATCAATTAACAAAACATCGATTAACTAAACTGAGTAGTAGTACTCATACACGACTGAGCTTTCTATTGGGGTCAGGCAGTTTGGAGAAATGTAATGAAATGAAATGAAATGGGGTTTAACTGGCTCTACCCTTTCTACCTGCGAAACACATACCACCTACTTTCGAGTTGGGATGAGTTGTCTTTTATCTTGGGATGAGTTGTTCTTTATCTTGGGATGAGTTGTCTTCTAACGTGGGATGGAGACGTCAAGTTTTGCGTGAGGTCTGTCCGTCCACAATTTGTGGATAGGGCCTACTCAACAGGTCCCCATGATTGCACGAAAAATCACGTTTTTAGCTTGTGGACCCCTCTAGAGGTCACAAGGGCCATGCTTCAGGAAGTTGACTTCTAGCGCAGGCCTGTAGCCTGAAAAAAAATTTGCCAACCATCGCTGTAAAATACCTACTGTAGACTGTGCCGGGTGCACCCCCCCCCCCCTAAAAACTTCACTGCCCCTCCGAAGCTAGCAAGCTGGCTACGCGCCTGCTCTAGAGGGTCCACAACTTTGATATACCATATTTTTATACGCCCACATATATCGTCGTCGCCCCTGTCCGTCCGTCACAATTTGTTTGTGGACACACTACAGGTCACAATTTGTATTCGATTTTGACGAAACTTAAAATATAGGTCTATCTCCCAAACTTTGGCATATATCGGACCATAACTTCATGGCCCCTGATTGTACGAAAAATCACGTTTTTAGCTTGTGGACACTCTGAGGTTACAATTTTCACCTGATTTTGATGAAACTAGACGTGCATGTTTATAACACAAAGATCTTATGGTTACTTTCGATATTTTCGCATATCGGATCGTAACTTCCTGAATTATGGCCCCTGATTGTACGAAAAATCGCGTTTTTAGATTGTGGTCCCGCTAAAGGTCACAATTTATCCGATTTAAAAAAAACAAAAAACGTTTGAATGTATCACCATTACACTGTAATGAAGCTTGAGTTCGAATTTCGTGAAAATCGAACCAAAACTGCCGGACAAAATGGCCGCTCCTCGTACGAGATTGGTGTAAAAAATATGGTATATCAAGGTTGTGGACCCTCTAGAGGTCATAAATAGACAAATTGTGGATGGACGTCCGGACGGACGATCGGACGGACGAACGAACGAACGAACGAACGAACGAACGAACGAACGAAATGAAATGAAATGAAATGAAATGAAATGAAATGAAATGAATGAATGAATGATCAGGGGTTTTTTGTAATGTTTTAAGACATTATAATAATATTCATCTATTCGTCTGTTTTTCCACAGCAGAAAAATGCCAGCAGTCTATCTCGGAACGATCGTCTTGGGATTTTCTTTTTGTCTGAAAAAAAAAGAAAACATGATCTCGATTAATGGAATTTGTATACTTGTAGTAATAATATTACAAGTGATCAAATATATCTTTAAAAATGTTGCAAAGTTGAGTCAAGGATGACATACAGTATCCCCATCCCATAGAACTAAATTTGATGACATCTTACTTGGGCGTTTTACTTACCATTTAAAGTGCTGTCTTGTTTGTCGCTAATAAAATTATTCACATCATCATCAATATCTGTTCCATATTCTGTGCTATTTATAGATATATGGTTGATTTCCACAACAGTTTTACTAAGGTTATAATTAAATAAATTATAAAATTCCATTAATGGATCTTGGTTTAAATGGTAATTATAAGTTTCTGTTTGACGATTTTTAATAATAATAGGTCTATAGTCGACATCATCAGATCCACCAAATAAACTACAATAAACTCCATCTGTTTCCTTCGTCATGTTTAAATTTCCAAGCAACTCCTCTGTCGTGAATTTTTCAGCATTTCTGTCAAGTTCTGGTTCTTGTCGTCTTTCTAGTTCTTTTTCTAATTCATCGATCATTTTGGAAATCTCATCGTCCTTTTCAGTTTCTTTTTCTAGACACGAACTTGTCTTTACAGAATCAGCCTTCATTTCAACCTTACAGTCCCTTTTAAAGACTTCAGTCGGAGTTAGAATATTGTAACTCTCTGTTTCAGCTAATAATGGTTCTTTCCGTCTTTCTAGTGCATCTTCTAATTCATCCATCATTTTGGAAATCGCTTCACTCTTTTCTTTTTCTAGTTCTATGTTCGAACTTGTTTTAACAGATGCATCCTTCATTTCAACCTTACAATCGCTTTTGGAGACTTCAGTCTGAACTTGGTTGTTATAACTCTCCATTTCGTCTAATAATGATTGCAGTTTATCTTTTTCATCGAGTACTTCAAAGACAACGCCAATAAGAAGCTCTGACATTTCGTATGCTGTAACAAGAAATACATATTTGGGAAATTTAATTTAAAGAATAATAAAATAGAATGATTAGATATAACTAGATTATACATACATGTATATATTTTTTCTTCTGTTGTTTTTAATTAATTTTGACAGAATTTAAAATCTCATCAACCGTAAATTGACAATATACAAATTTGCTATTTTATGCACAAATAGTTCTTGGTAGAAATTTGTTGAGAATGTAAACGGCGAACTATGGGGCGCCGATTGAGACTTTATTGTCAACTCAATATATATATGCTAAACTCTATAAATATGACAAACTTGGTTTTATTTCTTTGGCAAACATTAAATTCATGCTAAACTCCAAATATATATGACATGTAAACTTAGACTTGATGCTAAACTCCAAATTTATATATGACCAACTCCAAATAAATGACGTTTTTCTCTTATAGACGACCAACTAAATTTATATGCGGAACTTTCTAAATTCATGCTAAGTTAGACTCGGATTACCGGTCTTAGGAGTTTACTTTGTCTACGTCTTGATATTCGAGTCTAAGAGTCGTTTCGCCCCCAAACTAGTAAGGCTTTGACGTCATATAGAGGTGACGGTGAGATGATATTGGATCCAAATTGATCCTAACATGACCGTAGTATATAATTATTATAATCCTAACTCAAAGTTAAAAACAGACTCAATAATACGCGTCGGCAATACTGGACTCAGACCATAGATGACGTTAATGTAGTGCGGTGTATAGATAAGACCGAAATTGGAATGGGCAAAATATCCTCATACCGGAAACACAGATGCCGTTTTCGCGCCATTTAAACACCCATTTTCCGCCATTTTCACAAGTCGTTCTAGGTGACCGTTAGCGCGCCATTAAAAATGGCTAACGAATACTCGGAAGAGACAAAATTGAGAAGAGCTCTGAGCGACATCGCCCAGCAGGCTAACAGTCTGCTGGGAGCCTACAGAAACCGTCCACTCTCATCAATCGAAAGAATGTTAGTTGAACCATCTCCAAGTACATCGTTGGGTAGTCCTGGGAAAAGTGGCACAGGTCAGTTGCCTGCTGAGTCCAGTGAAAATACTTCACTTTCTATAAGCCAGTCAAGTGCCAATACTTCTTTTTCTAACTTAAGCCAGTCTAGTGCAAACAGTATCGCCTCCAGTAGCAGTATGATACATTCGATACCACAGACTCTAAGGCAGAAATTTCCATCACTAGGCCTAACTGGAAAATCTAAACGTCATTGTCAAGCATCATATTCAAATTCAAGGAGTAGGTCATCAACTCAAACCATGCCTAAAAAGAAAAGGGTGGGGTCACAGGTATATAAAGATATTATTTTATTACCAACACCAGATCAGAAAACTGTCCCAACACACAGGACCAGAATTACACTTGAGCACAAAGGCTTTGTGGTTCACGAATTCCCAATTGATAAATCCTGGACAGAGGACAAGCTATCGTTTGAAATAAAAAGTGTCTTTGCAGTATTGGAGGAAAAGGCTGCTGATTTTACTTATGTCAAGGCTTGTTATGGAGAAATTGTGGTGCCAAATATTGCACATGGTGTGAAAATTGATGCTCCCAGAGTCCTCAGTATTGCAAGTCAAGGATGCATTTATCTTCTCCCAAATAAAAATCTTGATGATGAAAATATTGATGAAGATGACAAAGATGTTACAGACATAAGCTTGTGCCCATGGGAAGAAATGAAATGAAATGAAATGGGGTTTAACGTCCTGTACAGTGTGCTATGAAGGAAAGTGTCACGGGTTCTTTTACGTGCACGCCAATTTGTACACGGGACCTCGGTTTTTCTTCCCATTCGAAGGATTATTAAGTTGTGGACTACATGAGCTGTCATTTCATTTTTACTTAGCCACCGTGATCCCCTCCATGGGAAGAACAAGAAGAGAAACAAGCGAGTACAGTAGGGCTACCTCAAAAATAATGGAATCGTGGAACATAATGGTATTGGTAGAGATAAAGAACAACAC